TGATTTTCATTTCTCCAATTCCTTGCCATAATTATCCTTGCTGCCGTTATCATTATTACTATGAAATCCTTATTTTCATTCGCCAGTTGATCGTTAATCATATTCAATAAAGCTATTATTGGAGACATTGGAGGCTTGAACCACTCATAGCAAAGATTAGAAAAAGTGGCTACCAATGTTTCAGGACAGTACATTCTTCCAGCACCAGAATCGTTTAACAAACTGGTGTCATACATCTGAGGCGCAGCCCTCCCTTACAGTTGTTTGTATCGTTCTTTCCCAGAATTTCTCCCTGCTCCCTATTGAGATGTCATTGGGTTCTTTCCTGGTTTCAGGACTTCCCGAGCGTTTCATTTTTCCTCTCCAACCAGGGGTGCCTCCAAACAACCGAGAAGGATTGCAACAAACAAATCTTCTGAGTGTAAGGGGGGAGCAAAGTGTGCTGCTTATATACCACCCCATAGGATTTAAAGCACTCTCTGGGTGGTTTACAAGTTAACTATGCAGGTTACACATTGCCTGCTTAGCCCCAGCGAACAAAGCCACAACATATTTTATTTCTTTTTACACCTGTTATACTTCACAAAGTCATAAAAAGTGAAACACAACCCATTTCTGCCAGACAACTGATTTCGGGTGCAACTTATTAATTGGTTTTTATCAAGTAAACCTTAGTATCCTATGAAGCTTTTAATCACCCTCTTGTGTGCAAACTTTAACAAGGTCAGAAGGTTTGAGTGTGTCAGAGAAGCTGATAACAATGCCATCAGGAAACTACACTCCATTACATGTCTGGACTTCTAGCAGAGTCTGTCAAGGTGGAATGGTCAAAGCTGAGACACCAGACAAAGATGCATCCACCTGTTCAGGATGAACAGTCTCACCAGGAGATGAGAATTCATAGTTCCAATGGTAATGGGGGTGGAGAAACTCCAGAGGTACTGGGTTGCTGCCTAGCAGACACCAGCAGTGATACTCAAGCTAACTCTTGTTATTAATGCACCAAAGAAGGAAACAATAAACCGCTTCGAAATATGTCATACCTTTAAAACCCTATGTTGAGACAAATAAAAATGAAACAAAAGATAATGTTGGAAGATGAGTCTCCGAGCTCAAAAGGCACTCAAAAACTCTCAGGTCGGAAGGCACTCGGGAGGACAAAGGACAAGTACAAACAGTACTGTTGCTAATCAAGCAACTGATTTAAATCCTAAAGGGCATCTGTTCCTAATGTTCACAGGGACCAAAGGAGTGTCCCTTCCTACAAGTATTGCTAGAATGTAGAACCTGAGAAGTATGAATCCAGGTAAATTCAGTACTGTAAAAGCAAGAAATGGAACTTTTCAATACTGCAGTATTTGGTGTGAACGAACGGAAGTGGACTGGAATAAGTCAAATAATAATAAAGTGATTTACCCTTGAAATAGCAAAACTCCAAGGGCTGTTGATGCGAGTGATCTTTTTGACATCTCTAATTCACAGGTTTGTCATAGGTCGGAAAGGACAGCACACGACCACATACTCTTCAAGAGTAACACTGTGACCTTGAAGGGTCACAATCTGGTTCTTCAGACACATGGATCTTGTGGATTGTAATCCGTAAAAGCAGAAAGTGAAATGAATCAGTAGATCTTAAAATGCCACAATACTTCAGAGCCGGTTTTGCTTTGTCTTGTTTCTTATTCCTGCTGGAAAAAAAAGACTGGAACGACTACCACTGTGAAAATGGCTCCAACAGAATGGATAAGAAAGCTTACCCAGAGACATCAAGTGGGCCCAATTCTCCTCCATGACTTCCCAGTGCAGAGCCTTTTGGCCCGGGTCCAGCAGGGCCCACTCTTCCTCGGAGAAAAGCACTGCAAGATCCTCAAAGGCTACAGGACCCTGAAATCAAAGGGAGCTTTTAAAATCCTCCTGGGCACCACAATTTTTCTACCATTTAAAAGTTTAGTCCAGAAGAAAATGGCATCAATGGGGTAGATGAGGGTAAGAGCACAGGATTCGTCTTGTCGTAGCCTGAGCCTTCTGATAGGGAGTAGTTTTGACAAAATAAAATGGAAGGTGGAAGATTTGGGGGGCTCAAGGAAGTGACAAGGAAGAGAAACACACAGATTCCTCCACTCCCCATTCATTCTCCTCTACCTGTTCTAGCTGCACAGACGCTGTGGCCATTCTTCCATCGAAAAGAGACGAGCAAGGGTGTGTTCCTTGTTGATTTCCAAGGTCTGCAAGGGGGATCAAGCGCATGAAAAAAACACTTATTTTTCAGATCGTTTTGTCCTTTACTTGTGTGAAAACAGCCTCACTCTCTTCCTGTTTTGGTTGAGATTCAAGCCCTACATGGATGGATACATATCCAATATCATTCATCCAAAGGGGAAAGATACAGCAAAAGGGGGATCCAGGAAAAATAGATCGATCAGTTCCTTACCTATAAAGACAGCTTCTTCTCCCTTCCCTTGTGTGTTCTTCAGGAGGAGAGGCCGGTGTCCTGGGTGAGCAAATTCCGAGGTGACCAGTTCTGAAGACTCCTGCACCCAAAATTTGGACATTTATAACACAGCAAGGAACAAATTGACAAGACTAAAAATTACAGAAATGCGGATGAACGGTGGTCATGCTTCGCTCATACAATTTTTGTTAAAGAGTGGGCACTTTCTTGGCCCTTTGGGATGACAGGAACTCTCACCAGCTGCCCTTCCTCCTTGCCATCTGTTGCCAGGCTCAAGAGGAAACCTTCTGCCAGGGATACCGCCTGAGACGTGGACTCCGGCTTACGTTTTCTGACCCAGCTCCCCATCATTGGTGGAAGGACAGTGAGGAACTGTTCGAGGACTATCAGGTCCAGCATCTCTGTCTTGGTGTGTTTTTCTGGCTTCAGCCACTGATGGCAAAGACTGCGAAGGTGGTTACAGATTGCTCTGGGGCCCTTGTGCTCCTGGTAGCAGAACTCCCGGAAATGCTGGCGCTGGACGTCTGGGCTGAGAGAATCTCTGTCGAGGTTGGTCTGTTCAGCTCTTCCCAGGCATTCTTCAGTGCCCCAAACCTCCATGTCCCCAGGCTGCTTACCCAGCTTCAGAACCGCCAAAGCCTTCCACTTTCCTCTCATTCAAAAGAGCCAACACAACAAAACTAAACGGGTGCTCTTCTCTCTATAGAAAAGAAAAAAACATGGGCGAAATTTAAGATTTGGGAAGGTTCTGTCATGGCTCCCAGTCTAAAGATACTTCTGGCTGACAACTGCCAGGGTTCTGCCCCTGATCTCTATTACCTCTCTATATGCTTTCCCTGCCTTTTCAAGCATCTGCACCCCTGCTTAAAGAAATCACTTTCTCCATAATGCATATCCGGTTTACAAACAGAAACAGTTTCAAAGATGGTGGTCTGTCTCAAACAGACAAGGATTTCCAGAGAGGGAGAACACACTTCTCTTCGACCTATAGCAGGCAGGATTTCCCACCCTGAAAGCACCTCAGCCCACCAGGATTCCACCTGAGTAGGAAGAAATGTTTCTACCTGTCTTTCAGCAATGCAGAACCCTGTGATTTCCATCAGAGGTGGATCTGATCCTACTGTGTAGATGGAGAAAGAAATGCTTTAAATCCAGAGTAAGAGAAGTAGGGGAGGGGGAAGAAGAAAGGAGAGAGAAACATAGCCGTGGAAAATACTGGAGAAGTAGGGAGGGAGGGAGGAGAAAGAAGAAAGGAGAGAGAAACATAGCCTTGGAAAATACTGAACTAAAAAGAGGGGAGATGGATTAAGAATTAGGCTTAAAACTAAAACTACATTTTACTGGAACTATGGGCTCATCTACACTGCTACTGCTGGCTGAATAGGGTTCCTTGAGATTGAATGGAGATGTAACATGCCATTTGGTGCAATCCTTGAATGCAAATGGCATCTCGGAGCTCAAGCAATCCTATATGGTTCAGCTCCTTCTGGTTTGAATTTCTAATACCATGACATGGCTTTATAAATAAGCCACTTCAGGATACTTAAGCAGAGGATTAATACCATGACATGGCTTTATAAATAAGCCACTTCAGCAGAGGGGCAGGGGAAGTGTATTTTCCCCCAGACTCTGTTATACCACTGCTGATGTGCTGTATTATTTATAAAGAAAGTTTAAATATATCATTTTCTCTTTAGGGATTGATCAAGTAACTGCCCACACTGAAATTAATGAATTTGGTGGCAGGCAGTTTCTTGATAATACAAGGCAAATAAATTTTTTAAAATACTGCTTTATAGATGATGCAGAGCATCAGTGATGGTATACCAAAACCTGAAAAAAATCACTTCCTCTGCTCCTCCACTAAGCAGAGGAAGTGTTCAATTAGCCAACATCCTGAAGTGGCTCACTTATTCAGCCATTTCATGATATTGGAAACTCAAAATGGAAGGAGCCTTGACAGTGGAAGGTTCATTTTTGGTCCATTCCCAGTAATCACACACGCTGGAAAGAACCCAAAACAGAGTGATCCTATTCACACCAAAAGCATAGAAGCCCCTGCCAGGGGCTCAGAAAGGTGTGGGAAGGGATGCTCTGAGGATGATTTGCTTTGCTCCAACAATTACATTGTGTTACACCAGAAAAATGAGCAAACCAACCCATCCCCACAGAAGAGCACAGAGAGGGACAAGCACCCATCTGACTGCAATCCATTACTGCAATAAATGCTGCTTAATTTAGTTCAAGCCAAGAGGTGGATTGTGTTGAATACCTGAGAGTTGGCTATTCGGAGAGAATAGAAAATGGCAGAGAGAGGGGGGCATTAACTGACACATAGGAGCAACAAACGGTTGGTGGTAGTGACCGGTGGACCTTGTAAAAGAAAAGAATTTCAAAATATATGATTATTCTTGTGAGTTGTGGGCAAACCCCGTCTAACAGTTCAAGTGAAAGGTTAAAGAGTGAAGAGCAACATAAACCAAGCTTCTGATGTGACAGTCAGCAGAGGTCAGAAGAAACCTGACAGTACCTGTTAAGATTCATTGCCCGAAGGCCATAAGAGTGGGGTGGGGGGGCAGATGCCCCAGCAAATCCACATTGCCCGAAGGGCATAAGAGTGGGGTGGGGGCAGATGCCCCAGCAAATCCGATGGGAATAGCTTTTGTAAGAACCTGGGAATGTCTCATGGAAAGACATTTTTTATGATCTTCCTTGTGGGATGGGAGGGAGACGGGAACTCTTGAAGGGGAATACACGGGTTATAAATAAATATGGAGGTGTGCTTGCAGGAGGCTAATTTCAAAAAACATTACCACTTAGCCTATGTTTAACTGACAACAGTTGTATCTGTACATAATCATGTCCCCTGATAACCAAATTTATTATTGCATTTCATTGATTGCATTTCTTTCTCTGCATCTCTTAAGGCAGGATATCTTGAACAAGAGGGAAGGCATTTCCTTCCATCTGCTAGCAAAACCTTGTTAAAAAAAATACCCACCCACCCCAAAGGAATCGCCTTTCTTTACATGGAGAAGGGCAACAATCCTTTTGCTTTTTTCGGTCTGACCCAGATAAACCCACGTGGATCCTCCAGGAAGATCACCCCCTTTATCTCTGCAGACGGACGAGGGGGGTTTGCTTTCCTTCGCCCCCTCCCCTCTGCAGAGACCCTTCCCCGTCGGTCTGGCCCAGATAAACCCACGTGGATCCTCCAGGAAGGTCACCCCCTTTATCTCTGCAGACGGACGATGGGGGTTTGCTTTCCTTCGCCCCCCTCCCCTCTGCAGAGACCCTTCCCCAAGTCCAACCCCCACGGATGCTGATGTGTCAAGGCACTGGGAAAGCTGGGTTAACGGGGGAGGGGGCTCTCCCAGCTCAATGTGGGGCATGAGGGGGAAATCCGTGGGGAGGGGCTGGGCTTTGCAGACTGGAAGGGAGGAGCCCCCCCTCCATGGACTTTGGAGAGGAAGCAAGGAAGAAAGGAAGGGGCGCCCGGCTCTACCAATTTTACTGGGAGATAACGGATGGTGTTTGAGGGGGCCCGGGCATGGCTCCATAACCTCTTGGGAGAGAGGGAACGCCATCTTGTTCTGTGTGGAGACAGGAGTCCGCAGGGCAGGGCATGCTTCCTGCCACGCAGCCTTGCCGCTCGATGCCTAGCTCAGAAATGCCGCATGAGAGATTCTCTCGCAAGGACTTTGGAAGTGCAGAGAAGTCAATATTCCCCCTTCGCACCTCTCAGCTGCCGACAAAGTGATAAGAGGCTGTCGAAGGGATCAGGGAAGCTCCTTGGTGAGATACAGACTGTCTCTGACTGATGGAGTCTCAACGGCCCCTCGGCCCCCTCCCTGGATCCCAAGGGAATGAAAAGGAGGCCTTATTTGCATCACACCTTCGGGCCCAGAACATGTATCATTCATGTCTTAGAACTAACGGATTGCATGGGGGGGTCACATGGAGATATTAGGGACCCCCTCTCTTTCCAATGCTTCCTGATTTATTTTATTCACTTTATTTTATTGATGTTATTTACATGCCACCTTTCCCCCTATAAGGGACCCAAGGCAGCTCACAATATTTGAAATTGGACATTGGTGACAGCTTGAAAATACTACGCAGAAGAAGCAGCGTTTGACTCTTTTTAATCCGTGATTCACATTTGAATCAAGCTGACTGTTTGTGGATTCTGCAACCGGATGCTTCAAACGTATACTGCAGAAGCCATGTCTCCTCCGATTTGTTCTTATAATAACTGAGGGGGGAGGGCGTGAGGAGGAGTGCCCACTCATGAAATTTAAGGGACCATAATAATGAACATATTCTCTGCCCCATCAGATCTTCCATGGATTATAGGCCACCTCCTGAGCTCCACTGAGTGCCCACGTTGGGGTTCACAGGTTTAGGTACACTGAATACTGTACATGGTTGTGGGATTGGGTCCCGGTGCGATGGGAGAAAGAGGGTGAGAGGGATCCCTGTTCTTAGGCTCCCAAGTGGCAACGGCATTCTTAGCACCATGTTCAAAAGATGGATTCCACAGGCATCCTGTGAAGAGATGAGGAGTTGGCTTCAAAGGAGAGCTCTCTGCTTGTCTGTGGGCACCGGGAGAGCCAGCGAAGGGCAACAGATGGAGTGTCTCTCGAGATCCCTGTGAAAATCCCAGATTGATCTCGGAAATCCACTGGAGGGCAGGCAGTGAGAAGCCTCTCCTTAGACATCTCTCCTTAGACATTTAAGATGCTGTCTACATGCCTAGACAGCATCTTAAAAAGCAGAGACCTCACCTTGCCGACAAAGGTCTACCTAGTCAAAGCTGTGGTTTTTCCAGTAGTGATGTATGGAAGCGAGAGCTGGACCATAAAGGAGGCTGACCGCCGAAGAATTGGTGCTTTTGAATTGTGGTGCTGGAGGAGACTCTTGAGAGTCTCCTGGAGTGCAAGGAGAGCAAACCTATCAATTCTAAAGGAAATCAACCCTGAGTGCTCACTGGAAGGACAGATCCTGAAGCTGAGGCTCCAATACTTTGGACATCTCATGACAAGAGAAGACTCCCTGGAAAAGACCCTGATGTTGTGAAAGTGTGAAGGCGGAAGAAGGAGACGTCAGAGGACAAGATGGTTGGACAGTGTCATCGAAGCTACCAACATAAATTTGACCCAACTCCAGGAGGCAGTGAAAGGCAGGAGGGCCTGGCGTGCTCTGGTCCATGGGATCACAAATAGTCGGACATGACTTAATGACTAAAGAACAAAAGGGAAGAAACCCATGGTGCCACAACAACAATTTGCAACAACCTGATACAAAGCGCTTTGCGCCCATCTGTGCAATAGCCTCTTGTACGTGCCTCTCCTCCCTCAACCACTTTTTAAGAGGAGAAGGACCCTGAGAGTCAGAGGAAGACAGTCGATATGCATCTTACAATTCTTTATTATTTTAATCTTCCTCTGGTTTATAGGAGGAAAAGAAATATCATAGACACTGGGTACATCCTGTTAAAAATTGCTAGGAAAAGCACAGAAGATTGTTCTTTAGATGATGATACTAATTCCTGTGACTTAGGAAAGCAGCTTCTAGGCATGAGGAGATCAGGGGTGGGGAAAGGCTGGTCCTCCTGAAACTGTTGTGCCTATAACTGCTTCTGGTCCTAACCGATGGTGGAGGATAATGGAAACTGTAGTCCAGCAATATCACGGGGGCTACATGTTTGCTGTTAACTGCAGCAGACTTTATTAATTTATAAATTTATATATTTATTGTCAAATACATTTATTGTCATTGTATGTATATACATAGTATACCCATACAACGAAATTCACGCAGACATCCAGAGACCAGACTCACAGGAACACACATAAAAAAATCCCCAAACTCTCCCCACCCACAAAAAATCCCCCACTAAGAACACAAACATCTGCACTGCAGGCTAAATAACACTGTCCAACTGTTCACTGCTGGTGGCCTTTAAGTTCATTATTGAGTGCAATTATAGCTCTGATAAAAACTATTCAGAAAATGTGTGGTCCGAGTCTTAATTGTTCCTGTATCTTTTGCCAGACGGCAACAATTAAAAAAAGTTGTGAGCAGGATGGGAAAAATCTTTAAGGATTTACACAGCAATGTTAGATCAAGCTCACCTGCTGATGTCTGCCTCATAATCCCCCCCCCCAGTGTACATTTCTTTCCCTGAGGTATCTCATGCACTATTTATTTCTTTATTGTATTCGCGAAGGCTTTCACAG